TATACATATACAGTGACTTAAAGAGAATGATGTTCTCTTTCAAGTCACAGTTCAGCTAGTCAGGCTGTTGGAACAGATCAGCTCCTGAAGTTATCTGGGGCCCTGGTTCCTCCTTCTTGCTGTCCCATCCTATCCTTATCCGAATAGTTGAAGCTACTCCTGGCAGTCTGCATCACACCTAGGGGGAAGGGGCCCAGAGGGGAAGTCCTGGACAAACATGTGCCTTTTGTGCTTATAAGGTGGAAGTTACACACACACACATCACTGCCACTCCCAATCCACTGACACCAGCTTATTCTCATGGCCATGCCTAGCTGGGAATGCTATCTTAGCTGGAAACCCTGTGCCAAGAAGCACCCATTTCAGGAACAACTAGCACTCTGCTGTGTTTTTAATGATGAAACTGCTCTTTAATAATTATTCTTTCAAAAGACCGATCAGAAAAATCTAAGTTCCTTTTTCTCAGCATTAAAATATTAAAAAAAAAAACAATGACTTGAGTTCTATACTTGCAATTCCTGTATCAAAACGAAGGTCCTTATAGACTGAAAACAATCTCTCTCAATACCAATGTTGAAAACACACATCTGAAGGCACATTTCTGCTGCTGTCCTGAAAGATCAGATATTATTTCTGTTTCGGTGACTGTAAACTCAGAATTCTTCAGGAACCTTCTTTAATAATCATTGTTCAGGAAGTCAGTGATAATCAGGACTTGTCCGATACTGTGGGGATACCAATGATGTTCACTGCATCATGATACTTGCAGGTAGTTATTTTAAAGAAAACACCCTTTCCCAGGTTATTTTTAACCTTTTAGAAAAAATAAAGGTCCTCATACGATAGTTTAAGCCACCAAAAAAAACAAATAAATATTTTTAAAAGGTCATTAATAATCACTATGCATTTTCCTTAAATATTAATATATAAATATTTTAAACTTATATAAGTAAATATATGAATTTAAAAAATTTTTGCAATATAATTAGCCAGATTCCAAGGGCCTAAATACTTTCATAGAAAAAAGCTGGACTTTCCTGGCAGTCCAGTGGTTAAGACTCCACAGTTCAACTGCAGGGGACATGGGTTTGATCTCTGGTGAGGGATCCAAGATCCCAAATGCCTGTGTGTGGTAAGGCCAAAAAAGAAAAAAAAAAAAAGTCAACTGTCTTTGGAAGATTCCCTTATGTGATTTTAGAGGAATAGCCTCTAAAATGAGATGTTCGATGACCAAATGAATGCATTAGGGCATAAAAGACTGAAAAATCTTATAAAAATGTGCATTTATGAATGTATTTTCTACTTAAAATGCACAGATAAGGAATTTTTACATCAAGCAGGTGTAGACTGTAGGGAAACGATTTAATTGGTAATAGAACTGGGCTTGTCAGAGCCCTTTAATTTTCTCAGTCTTCCCTGGGAACCCCTCCCAACCCACTCCCTTAGATTCTCTGTCTTCTTCCTAGAAAAAAAGGCTCAGTTGTAGCACTAATAGTTTAAGACTCGCTAGGGCTTTCCCTGAGACACCTGCCTACTACTTCCAGGCCCCTAGTCAGGAGGATCTCCTTGGAGCCAAGAAGTTGATAACTGGTCTAGAAAAGACGCAAACAGTGTCATGGTCTAAGAGTTCCTGAAGCGGACTTTGTGACATCATGCAGAGGCTAAGGGCTGAGGCAAAGGGCTCCTCCCCTTCCTCCCCACATGCATAACCTCGGGCAGAGGACTGCATGTCCCCAGGCCTCAGTTTCCTCACCTGTGACAGGGTACTAAGGACCACGTGGGAATATGTGTGCTCAGCCACCTGTTGGTGCTTCCTCTCCCACCACGTCCTTGTAGGGCTCAAAGATCTGTAACTGAAGGGATCACAGGGAAGCTGAACAATGACTGAAGGGTTAGAAGTCACGATCTAAGGAGGATGGGTGAAGGAGTGGTGAATGTCTCACGTGGGAAGGACAGCATTTAGTCTGGGCAGAGAGGGCAGTGAGGAGCTGGGGCTGCCAACTGTAAGCATCCAACAGCTTGCTTGGCATTTAACATGGTCCAATTCTCAAAATAGCCCTGTGAGCAAAGTAGGATTATGAGCTCCATCTTCTAAGTGAGGAAACTGAGGTTTTATAACTTTCCCAAGATCATCCAGCTGAATGGGGAAATGGAGGGTCCAACCTGGGCCTGATGGATGCTCTGCATCAGCTTAAGATGCTCCTCTCCGGTGGCTGGAGACAGCATGGGGCAGCTGGCCCCAAAGAGGAGCAAGAGGGGGACATGGAAGAAGGTTGCCAGCCACTGGTATCAGGGACAGGCAAGGGCCAGAGAGGACTCTTTGGGACTCGTCAGAAAGGGACTTTCCAGGCCTCAGTTGCCTTGTGTGTGGGCTTGCCTGGAGGCAGGAGTGAGTCTACTTTCCCTGGAGGAAAGCAGGCTTGTGACCACTAGGCTCGGGACCAATCTCCTGGGGACCACCTAGACAGACAGGAGCAGCCTGCTCCTCTTCTCCGACGGGGGCTCGGCGGCTGGCACAGCTGAGCCCATCTTTCTACTTCTTTCTATGTGTTCCAATGTCATTGCAGACATTCCCTTTGCCTCGCTCTGGCCATTTCCCAGGAAGGGTTATATAAAACTAAGTAAAAATATTAAAACACACAAATGAAATTCTTCTTAGCCTTCATCTCTGCACTCCCTTATCCGTGGAATGGGTTTGAAAATCCGCCTAACTCCGGGCGAGGCACTGTGGCCCTGCTCATGCAGCGCTTGCCCTGGTGGCTTTGCTTCCTTGCCCTAACTTTGATTCTTCACATTGGGAAGGGGCTGTGATTAGAGCTTAATCTCATGTCTGCAATCCCTTTCTTCCATGGAGCTGCACTAACCTTTCCCAGATAACTGTGAGGCAACCACAACGGTTTCTCTCTCCGCTACACTCTCTTCTTTTATGGAGACATGGAAAAGCTCAGTTCAGTAGACTCAGACCTGTGTTCTGACTCTCACTCTTACATCCACATCCATCCACATCCATCATTCTGAGCTATAAACCTTTTTTTTTTTTTTAAGAAAGATACACATTCCATGAACAAAATGCAGTCCATCTCAGAAGGTAAGATGGCCTTGGGAGAAACACTCCACAGACAAGAATGTGGGCCATCTCAAAAGGCAAGAAGCCCATAAACTCATTTTTCTTAAAGAGTAGTCCCCAAAGCTCACTAAAACTTGTACTTGGATTTAATTTCAATTGAGACCCATATTTGAGTCCATATTACTAATCTCTACACCTGATTTTGACTTAAACTGGCTTCTAACACTGACATATCTTCCAAGGGAACCTAAGCAAAGAACATCATCTCCACATCACCCTCCCCTCAAGAGAACATGAAAAAACACAAAGTCACACTGAGAAAGAAGGAGCCACAGTTTGCTCTTGTCCAGTGAAGGTCTCTTGGCCTCAGAATGCCGCCACTTCCCGCAGTTCCAGCCCTTGGCTGTGGTCCACCCTGAGTAAGTGAATTCCTCTGCTAGATGGTGTCGGCCACCGCCAGGGAAGTCAAAGGTCCTGATCCATCCAGAGACAAGGTGAAAAGGCAGGCTGGGGAGGAAGGGGGAACCGGCACGTTAGACCAAGGCTACCATATCATGAAAGGTGCCGTCTTTGTAAGAAGCCTACAGAAATAAAGCCCGTGCTGTGTATATGCATCTAACCCAGGTGCAAAAGGCACTCGGTGCCTCTGAGGAGTGTTCAGTGGGGAGGTCAACCCCAGGTCATCAGCACAGGATGTATTCCACCTGGAAGTACACTGGACAACTGGGGCCTCACTGCAAGGCCGTGTTAAAACTCTGCCCTCGGGTGCCCGCCCAGAGAACAAAGCGCAGAGCAAAAGATAAGGACACTGATCTTCAGCTGCGCCGCCCTGGGGTCTTGCTTTGTCCTTTTAGGACAAAGGATGACAGGGCACCTGCAGGGCGGTCTGGGGCTGCCAGCTGACCCACTCGCCTCCGTCAGCATCTTGCAGGCTGCTCTTCTAAGAGCACACGTGCACACTTGGCGGGCAGAGTGGTGCTTTCACACCTGGTCCTCCCTGGTCTCAGGTTTTGATCCCTGAATCTAGAACAGCTGCTTCTCCCACAAGCCCAGGTCAGGGTACCTGACTGCACTCACTATGGAAGCCGCTAGACATGACCCCACACGTCTGAGGGGGGCGACCCTATCCCCTGCTAGAAGCTAAGTTTCTGGGAGATGACTGTTGAAGGGATTTGGCTTGAGGGTCTCTAAATGAATGTTAGCCCTGTGTCTGCCAGAAGCCAGTGTCCAGGACAGAATAGTATGAAGGCAGTGGGATGCTGGTAAACTGGCTTTTTGGAAAGAAAAAAAAAAAACCTTCATTCACAGCATTTGCCAATTTTTGTGAGGTAAATACTCCTGCCATGACCATATTAAATATTCCTGAATATTTAACAGTCAGTGAGCAGAAGCTGGCTCCAGCACACCACCACATTGAGGAAACTATGGGGAGCTTGTTCCCTAAAGCATGTCTTTCTCTGGTGCTTTGCATGACCTTTCTAGATCCCAAACCTTAGCTGCAGAGTCAAGAGAGGGCAGTCTTTCTGAGACTATCCTTACCCCACACCTCACCCCCACCGAACTGAGGCTCTCATTTCAGCCCTTGAACATGAATCTTAAAGTGGCAATTCTTATTCGCTTTTTCAGACATTCTGAGCATCACAAGTTAAAACATGATGAGGAACTACAGGTAGAAAGAATGAAAGAACCAGATACATTTGAGCTTTTAGGAAGGCGTCTGTACAACATGATACCAGGGATTACATGGTGACAGCTCCTAGCCAGAGGTTGGACAGGGAGTCTGGTTTCTTGATGTCATCTCTTAACCACTATGGGAGTGGACAGTGGCAGGACATGGGTGACTCCATATATGCTGAGCAATGGAAGAAAGAGTATTAAGGAAACATGTAGGACTTCATGTATCTTTGAGAAGCACCAGAGGCAGGCTCCTTACCTCCCGTGTCTTGATTCCAGATCTTCACCTTGCAGTCATGTGATGAGGTAGCAATTGCAGGCATCGAGGCTAAAGCTCTGGGTAGAAAGATACAGGATGCAACGGTCTGGAAGTGCCCCCTGTACTCACAGATTCTGTTCCGTGTCTGCCTTAGGTCCCATAGCTGCAAAGTAATGACAGGGGCTGGCTTGCATACATATTTCCCAGCTTCAGAAATGCTTCATTCTCTAGTATCCTCTCCCCAGACTCTCATGATGCTCCTATTCCCTCAACCCACCTCCTCACACAGACACCTTTATCTTCATCCCTCCCACCCATCCATCCAGTCAGGCAGTAACTATGTCTCAAACAAGCCAGGTTAAAGATGGTTTAACTGGGGGTTGTTGCCTTCTTCATTATCATCATGACAGCACAGTGGGACAAAAGAGGATAGCCTATTTTCTACTACAGCTCAAGAGCAGCCTTATATCAGCCTCTTGGCATCTGTGTGTCCCCTGGGGACCCCACAGTTAGGAGTACCTTCTCATAAGTATATACAGGTGCAGACCTTCTGATTTAATACCAAGACACTGACTCTCGGTACAGGGAAGACTAGATTTTATAACAAGGGAGACAACAGTTCTGCCAGCCCACTCCTGTTGATACTAATCAGACTACACCTGGAGAATAATGTTCACAGACAAGAGCACACGGAATTGTGTCCAAAAATTAATGAAATCACTGGACACTGACTCGTTGTCCAAGGAACAACTGTAGAAGCTGGAAATGCAAATGCTTAGCTTGGAGAAGAAATGCTACATCAGAAGCCTGGGATTCAACACTTCAACCTACCACTTATGAGAAGTGAGGTCTTGTACAAGAGATTTCAACTTGCCATGCCTCTATTTCCCCATCTGTAAAACGGGAACTACAGTAATACCAAACACCCAAGATTGTTTTAAGGATAAAATGAGATAACACACATGATGTGCTCAGCCCAGTGCCTTGCACGTAATAAATGTACAATAAAATGGGAGTTGTAGTTGTCCCATTTGGATACTAGATAAATCTTTTAACTAATATTTTACAGTGAGAAATCCAAGGTACTCTGAAGGAGCCAAGGCAATCTATTCTGAAATTAACTGCAAGGAAAGGTATATGGGTTCAGGATGCGGTGGGCCCTTGACCAACACTAGAGCCCCAAGCTTCCCAAAGAACTTGAATTCCTTTACTGTGACCACATATGCAATAGGAACACATTGATTCTTCAAACAGGTCATCCCCTTTCTAAACTCTACTGGGATCACGGACATTAGCAGGTGGTTCTGTGTCTAACACTTTCCTATCTTGACTCCCATCACATTTCTCTTTTCTATGACCGATGCAGAGAGCTTAGGCAATGGAGTTTTCTTGAAAGAAGCATCCAGAATGCAAAGGCTCCCGTACAGTATGCAGTTGGAATAGGCCTGGACTTAAGTAGAGCCTGCCTGTGTAGCCCAGGACAGGCAGGAGGCCAGAGGAAGTCATTTCTCGTCAGCACCCCAACACCTGGACCCCGCAGTCTCTCACCGTGGCTCCACAGCCTTCCCCTCCAAAGCCGCTGCTGCAGGAGACACACTTGTGTCCATCCTCACTGACCGCGCAGTGCGTCTGGATGTGCTGCTGGGTGGGAAATGTATGAGCTACCTGCAGCCCCCGACTGTCCCACAGTCTGAAAGAAATCACAGCAGGGAGTGAGTTTGCAGTAAATGTGCTGAAATGCCCCTGTGACTGCCTGCGAACGCCGAAGTCTTGGCTCTTTGTGGGCTTTGACCAGTCAGAACAGAACGCTGTGATTTACCCAAAAACAGCAACATGAACCAGATCGGTCTCAGAGACGCTAAAGCTGTCAGGAAATAACCAAACTGAATGACATCTGAGTTCTTTCTATTTTGAGATCTAATTAATGGGAATTTAGACCAAGCATCTTAATTGTTCGAGTTAATTTGTTAATTTGGTCCTTTGGGGTACTACTTTCAACAGACAAGAGAGAATATTTCTGTGCCTGTGATTTAACAAAAATTTTTAAAGATACATATCACGATGGACAGAAGCAGGCATCATTCCAGAGTCAGACACAAAATATTTATAGGCCTTGGCCATCTGGCCCATGGGGTCAATTGGGGACCAATTGGGGACCTCTTGTCTCAATTTTGTTATCGTCTTCCTACCATTTTCTAAGAAGAATGTCTTGAGAGCCAATGTTTCTGGTCATGCTTTCTAGTCTAAGAAGGAGTTACTTCATTTGACTTCCGGGATGGTGATTCTGAGGGCTGAGTGATTGAGAACACCTGGAGCCCAGTAAGGGCCACTTGAAGGGGTGGGACAAGTAAGCGACTGACCCTGAGGTTAATCTGAACCCGTTCTCACAGTCAGGGCTGTCAGAATCAGCTGCTTCTAAAAACCAGCCAGAACAAGCTGACCTCCTGCCATTCAACCTCTATCCAGGTGATCTGCGGGGCCAGATCAGAGAGACGCCAGCACTAGCAAAGGGCAGAGGAGTGGAAGGCCCTGGGAGAGGCACAGCAATGCCAAGAAGCAGAGTAGGAACAGAGGCAGGTAAGCACGGAGCCACAGACCTTCACCAGAAACACCTTCACTGCTGCTCAGTAAGCCCACCTGATGGTTTTATCCTCGGAGGTCTGGAGTACGTAAGGTTCTTGGGGGACCCAGCACAAGTGAGTGACCTGGAAAAAGCAAAAGTTTCAAAACTTCTCCACACCACGCCATTCCTCCGCTTGTAAGTTCTGTAAATGTCACTAAATAGCATCTCTGTCATCACTTCTCAAGGATGCTGAGCCTAGCACATCTGACTTAAGAGGGATTTTATGTGGTGCAGAGGCCCACCGGTCATGTTTGACCTGCAGCTTCTAGGTTATCAGCAGCAATGGAAGCAGCTGGACCAGGCGTGAGCCCCAAAATGCGTGCAGCACTCTTAGAGTATCTGAAACTCAAGCACCACTGGCCGAGTGGCAGCTAAGGAGAGCAGCCTCTGCTTTCAAGTGGGACCAATGAAACCCTAACTTGAGGCCTCCTCGGGTTCAGGAAGAGTGTCCTCGTTTCCCTTGATCCCTGCAGCCCCCTTGCTGGATAGGCATGAAACAGTTTTCAAAACAACCCAAGGTAACATGGTTTTCATTTCTTCCAGCAACCTGCACAAATATGGAGGGCACAGAGCAAGCACATCTTGCCATTGGCAGTTGTCTTCAAAACTCGAAAAGATCACATGACTAATGTCTGACAACCACTAAAGGACATTGCCATGTCAGGTGATATAATTCTCCCCATTTTATAAATGAAGATGCTGAGACTTCAAGAAACTTTCTTGGGTTAATACAGCTAAAAAGTGATGTATCCATGTTTTAATCCCAGGTATGACTAACCTCATAGGCAGGGGAGTTGACATCAGTCTGCTACCGGAAAACACTGGTCTTCATAAGCAAATCAAATTACACAAATAGCAAAAGGTCATGCTTATTTCTCTGCATAATGTTAAACTGTGAGCTTCTGGAGGCCAGGAACCAAGCCTTGGGCTACTAACCCTGCTTCTAGCACAGTGCCTGGCCCACAGAAGATATGGAATAACTATGTTTTGAAGGCATAAGTGAGGACACCATTTAAAACTCCAATATAAACTAGTGGAGTTGTTCTCTGGAGCAGACCTTGGTTAGGGGTGAGCAGTAATTAGGACCCAAGACTCTAAGGCCTGGTCATGGGGTCTCCACGTCTCTCTCCTGGGCTCCTCCTCACCCAGGCTCCCTTCTGTTGCCCTGCTAGGGACCAGGTTTGAGCTCGTACCAGGTTCCTGGAGACTGAAGCGCTCTCTGCACACCGTCCAGTCCCCACATCCCACAAGAGCAGGGTGTTGTCACGGGAGCCGGTACACAGTTGTGATGAATCTTAGGGAACAATGGAGAGAAGATGGTCCATGAGACAGACTTGGGACAGGGCTTTTCAGAAAGTACCACAGTGCTGGTGTTGGGAAGACGTTGGCTTTACCTCACCTGGACTCACGGTCAGTCCAGTGACCACCATGGTGTGGCCAGAGAACTGCTGTCTTGGCTGTGAGGAGCTCTGCAAGTCCCACATCATGACCATCTTATCACGAGAGGCGCTGAAGAACTGGCTTGATTTGTAAATACACGCTATCTGCTCAAAAGAAAAAAAAAGAAAGCTCCAGTGTGCTTGTTTGGATGTTAAAAATGGAAAAAGCCTGGAGATAAAAGTGCCAGAGCCTGGTGTTCACTCTCAGTCTGGTTCAAAATGCACTGTATCTGGCAGTTAAATAGAGTCTGTGCTGTGTGACTGTGGCTGATAACTTAGTCTCATTACGATAGCGTTTGCTTCTGAATTTTTGGTTCATGTAGGTGGACTTCAGAGAGGGGAGTTATATAATCTGACATTCTCTTGTCATTTTCGCTGGAATCTCAGTCCACTCTGTCATGCTCTTTAACAAATTAACTTTTATTTAACTGTTTCTGCCTTTTAAAAAATTTCCCCAACTAGACTAAAAGTTTCCTCAGTATGGAGAGTTTGTCATTCTCTTACCTGGAGTAAACACTTAGTAAGGCTTCGATACTTGACCCTGGTAAGTTAGGACAGGGCAGGGGAGTTAATCGCAGCTCTTCTCTGTTGACTGACTGTGCTGTGCGACATGCTAAGTCGCTTCCGCCGTGTCCAGCTCTTTGTAGCGCTATGGACTGTAGCCCACCAGGCTCCTCTGTCCATGGGATTCTCCAGGCAAGAACACTGTCATGCCCTCCTCCAGGGGATCTTCCCAACCCAGGGATCAAACCTATGTCTCTTACATCTCCTTCACTGGAAGGTGGGTTAGCGCTACCTGGGAAGCTATGAAGGGCTTAACAATGAAACAAAAATGTGTGTTTACTATACCTGTAACTATAGCTAAGTGAATGGTTTGCTCTGGTGTGAGTGGGGTTTCACACGGTGACATCAAATGAAACCTCTGCATTTTTCCTTAACACTGAAATATTCAACCACTCTTACTACCTAGAGCTACAGGCATTCCTTTATTCAATTCCAAATTTCCTCGGGATGCTAATCATATGACAATTACCTTGGTGATTTCACGCTCATGTCCTTTGAACCTTTTCACCACATTTCCAGTTCTCCAGTTATAGGCCACAACTGTCTGCAGAGAGTCATTAGAATATTTTAGCTTAACTGATTTTTTTTGTTTAGCTGAAAACAACAAGCCTTTATCTTGTTCTCTACCTAATTTCTCCCTCTCTACCAAAGTTTCATTGTAGTGTCGTTCCTCATGCTCCCCTAGTTTGAGCTCTTGGTCTCTTCCAGAGCCCCTGGGCCACTCTGCTGAAGTGTCTGGGCCTTAATGATGGGTTTGGGATAACACTCCGCAGGGGCATCTGGTTTAGGTTGAGGTTCTGGGTATAGATGCTGAAGGAAAATCTACATGGGATTAGATTATTTTTCCCTACTTAAAAAAAAAAATTTACCATCATAATCATTTTTAGGTATACAATTTAGTAGTATTAAAAGCAGATTCAGGGAATTCCCTGGTGGCCCAAGGGTTAAGATTCTGTACTTCCAGTGGAGGGGGCATGGGTTTGATCCTTGACTATTTCATATCCTAAAAGATGATGCTGTGAAAGTGCTGTACTCAATATGCCAGCAAACTTGGAAAACTCAGCAGTGGCCACAGGACTGGAAAAGGTCAGTTTTCATTCCAATCCCAAAGAAAGGCAATGCCAAAGAATGCTGAAAATACTCCACAATTGTACTTGTCTCATACACTAGCAAAGGAATGCTCAAAATTCTCTAAGCCAGGCTTCAACAGTATGTGAACTGTGAACTTCCAGATGTTCAAGATGGATTTAGAAAAGGCAGAGGAACCAGAGATCAAATTGCCAACATCTGTTGGATCATCGAAAAAGCAAGAGAGTTCCAGTAAAACATCTACTTCTGCTTTGTTGACTATGCCAAAGCCTATGACTGTGTGTATCACAAGAAACTGTGGAAAATTCTTCAAGAGATGGGAATACCAGACCACCTGACCTGCCTCCTGAGAAATCTGTATGCAGGTCAAGAAGCAACAGTCCAGCAACAGAACTGGACGGAACAACAGACTGGTTCCAAATAGGGAAAGGAGTACATCAAGGCTGTATATTGTCACCCTGCTTTTTTAACTTATGTGCAGAGTACATAATGAGAAATGCTGGACTGGATGAAGTACAAGCTGGAATCAAGATTGTGGGAGAAATATTAATAACCTCAGATATGCAGATGACACCACGCTTAGGGAAGAAAGCAAAGAGGAACTGAAGAGCCTCTTGATGAAAGTGAAAGAGAGTGAAAAAGTTGGCTTAAAACTCAACATTCAGAAAACTAAGGTCATGGAATTTAGTCCCATCATTTCATGGCAAATAGATGGGGAAACAGTGACAGGCTATTTTTCTGGACTCCAAAATCACTGCAGATGGTGACTGCAGCCATGAAATTCAAAGACGTTTGCTCCTTGGAAGAAAAGTTATAACCAACCTAGACAGCATATTAAAAAGCAGAGACATTACTTTGCCAACAAAAGTCTGTATAGCCAAAGCTATGGTTTTTCCAGTAGTCATGTATGGATGTGAGAGTTGGACTATAAAGAAAGCTGAGTGCCGAAGAATTGATGCTTTTGAACTGTGGTGTTGGAGAAGACTCTTGAGAGTCCCTTGGATATCAAGAAGATCCAACCAGTCCATCCTAAAGGAAATCAGTCCTGAATATTCATTGGAAGGACTGATGCTGAAGCTGAAATGCCAATACTTTGGCCACCTGATGCTAAGAACCGACTCATTTGAAAAGACCCTGATGCTGGGAAAGATTGAAGGTAGGAGAAGGGGACGACAGAAGATGAGATGGTTGGATGGCATCACTGACCCAATGGAAATGAGTTTGAGTAAACTCCAGGATCTGGTGATGGACGGGGAGGCCTGGCATGCTGCAGTCCATGGGGTCCCAAAGATCCAGACACAACTAAGTGACTGAACTGAACTGGGGAACTAAGATCTCATATGCCATGTGGCACAGCCAAAAAAAAAAGTATATTTACACTGTTGTGAACAGATCATACTTTTAAAAAATATTTATTTATTTATTTGGCTGTGACAGGTCTTAGTTGGGATCTTCAATCTTCATTGCAGCACACGATATCTTTAGTTGCAGCATGTGGGATCTAGTTCCCCAACCAGGGCTTGAACCCGGGGCCCCCTGCATTATGAGCATAGAGTCTTAGCCACTGGACCACCAGGAAGTCCCCATACTATTCTTTAATTTCAAAAAATCTAATCCATAATCCCATCTGCCAGAGAGAACCATTATGAAAATTTTCTTCCCATCCTTTTTCCGGGAATATATTTTAGTATTCTGTTGTATTTCTCCCCCTAAACAGGATTCAGAAGCATTCTCTGGCCCAGTCTCTGTCGTTCAGTACTATGACCTAGTTAAATTCCAGTTTCATAACCTGCAAAACAGAGAGGCTAATCATTGCACTATCTACCCCTCACAGGTAAGGATCATAGAAATATAAGTTCATATGTCTAGATGTTACAACAAAATGCTGCCAATTAAATGATGTTATTATCAATTTCTAGATGCATCCTGATTTCAGAGGTGTTACAATGTGGAAACATGTGCATCTTAGAATCAGTGAAATACAGTATGTAAATAGAATCTGAAGATTCTAAATGGCTATTGAAAATTAGAGGCATTATTTATTATGAAAGAACCAGCATTTTTGCTATCAAGAACCTAGGTTGAGTTCTACGACAGATCCAAATACTAGGGAAATAAAGCAACCAAATTTACACTGAAAATGGGAGCAGTCTCGAAGTATTGGTAGATATTTTGGCAAAAGAGAGGTATAAAAGAGACTAGAACTTTCCTTTTGCTGACAAATAGCTCCTGTGTGCATGCAGGTGTAAAAATGGATAGGCTGGAGTAATACTTGTCATTTATAAAAAGCATGTGGGTGGTCTTGCAGAGCGCTGAGCATCTTCCCATTTAATCCTCAACTATCCTGGATGGTTGGCATTACTACCTCCATTTAATAGAGAAGGAGCCTGAAGCTCAAGAAAATGGAAAGACTTGCCCAAAGTAACAGGAAGCAGTGGAGTAGGAATTTAAACCCAGCCTTTTTAACTCTAAAGCAAATATTTTTACACTATTCAACCCTGCTGCCAGAAATGCAAAGCCAGCACTTCCTTTCCAAACATCTGCCCTTCTCTGCAAAAAGTTGGTTCCCTGGAAAGGACTGCAAACCCCACCTTATCTTTTCCTCCGGAGACACAGAGGTCTGAGTTCAGAGCAGCAACAACAGAGACGGTATCCACGTGAGCCGGGCTATACTCTTGAAAGGCTTTAGTTTGAATCCTCTCTTCGATAAATCCATCTGGCCTGCTAAAGAGAGGATGGAAAATGAGGAGCCCCACGGTGTAGGGTGCACAGTGGAGCAAGGGGAAGAGAGTGTGGACTACAGGCCATGCTGAGGAGGAAGACAGAAAGGGAGTAGAGAAAGGAGCCACACTGACATCACCAGGAATGGCATTATTAACTCTGTAAATGCTCGGAATGAGTGAATGACTGGATCTGACAAAAGAAGAAACCCAGAGTCTTTGCTTACTCTAGAGATGATTCCCAAAGAGGTGGGAATCATCTCCACAGGGCTCCTCGCCATGGGGCTGTAGGCCCTAGCAACCAAGATGTTTCTTATCCAAAAGGAAACAGACCAAACTGACTGATCAGGGAGGGGCATCAACAATGGCTCCGGGCCTTCTCTTTCTATAGGAGAGAACTGTCATGGGGCACAAAACTGGGGACCCCACCTGAGGGCAGACTGCTGTACCTGCATTTGTAAGTGCTGTGTTTGAATTTGCTCTGCAGTTTCCCCATCACTGGACAGAACCGGCACGAGACCTTCTGGGGAAGAGCTCGTTTCAGACGGCACCTGAGTAGCAGCATCCCTTGTGGCTGCGGGAAGGTGTGTGCCCTGTTTGGTAAAAGGAATAAGACACACTGTTAACTCTGAGGCACAAGAATGGTAGGTAGTATGGTTATGTTAAAACCCCTTTTTTTGTTTTTTTTATTTATTTTTTTTTTTTAAAAGACTAACTGTAGGCATTTGGTTTTTCTCCTTTCCCTGCCTCACTCTTATGGCCCTGGGAAGGCACCATTCCTCCATACGGCATTTGCAGATAAACAAAAACAAAACTAATTTTAAAAATATTAAGACACTCCCCAGTAAGTCAAACATAGAATTACTACGTGATCCGACAATTCTACTCCTGGGTATATAGTCCAAAGAACTGAAAACAGGTGTTCAACCCAAAATTTATACATGTCTGTTCAGAGCAGCACTGTTCACAATAGCCAAAAGCTAACAACAACCCAAGTGTCCATCAGTGGATGAATAAACAAAATGTGAGTTATGCATAGGATGGAATATTATTCATCCATTAAAAGGAATGAAGTACTGGGAATTCCCTGGTGGTCCACTGGTTAGGATTTGGCACTTTCACTGCCATGGCTGGAGTTCAATCCCTGGTCAGAAACTGAGATCCCATAAATTTTGAGGCAAGGCCAAAGGAAAAAAAAACAATCTACACCAGTAAGCTTCTTGGAAAAGAGCTTTAGTTATTCTAAAAGGCTATAACCTTCCTAGCGTGTGGGACTGCTATTAAATACTTTCCAGGGTCATGAGGTTATTCTGTAATAAGAAAGAGATGCGGGAGACAGTGACACCAAATGAGACAATACAGGTAATGACCTGACCAGCAGGTCTCAAAGTGAGATCTCGGGACTGCTGGGGATTCCTGAGACCCTTTCAGGGAGTCTGTGAAATCCTTTTTCCAACTATGTCTCTATGTGAGTCCTGACTTTCTTCTTATACTACAAAAAACACACTACAATAGATTGAATTCAGAAGCAGATACGAGAATTCAACTGTCTTCTGTTTAAGCCAAATAGTAGAGATTTGCAAAAAATGTAAAACAATACCGCTCTCTTCCAATCAAACATTTTTGTGTGTTTTCAAAAGTATATTTATTTTTCATAAATTTATGTTTACATGCAATAAGGTTTTTTATTTTTAAAAGAGTTAATATGTAAATTTAAAAAAAATATCTCAGTTTTAATGTCGAGATCAGAATATGTGGCCAGCGCGGACGTCTGATGGAACTGAAGGTATATGACTAGGACCTAATCTCAGCTACTCTGGGAAATGTTTGTCTGCTACTCAATTAGCTGTCCCCTGAGATGGCAGAGGGTACAGGTGGGAGTACCCAGTCGCCATCTCTTCCAGGGCTCTGGTTAAAGAAATTCTAGGAGGTGAGTTTCTTATGGGAATGACGAGCCCACATAGTTCTAGGAAGAATAGTCTATAACGAGAAATAACAGCTAAAACTCTCCAAGTATTCTCCATGCAGGATCTTAGTTCCTGGACCAGGGATCAAACCCAGGCTCCCTGTAGTGGAAGCCTGGAGTCTTAACCATTGGAACACCAAGGAAGTCCCATATCATTACCTTTAAAAAAAACCCACAGCTTTCCACTCTATGGAGGTCCCTCAAAAAAACTAAAAACAGAGTTGCCATGTGATCCTGCAGTTCCATTCCTGGGCATATATGTGGAGAAAACTATAATTTGAAAATATAAGTGTACTGTAATGATCATGGCAGCACTATTTATTGATAATAGCAAAGACATAAAAACAACCTAAATGTCCACTGAGATATGAATGCATAAAGAAGATGTAGTACATATATACACAATGGAATATTACTCAGCCATAAAAAAGAATGAAATAATGCCATCTGCAGCAGTGTGAATGCAACTAGAGATTATCATACTTAGTGAAGTAAGTCAGAAAGAGGGAGTGATACCATATGTTATCACTTATACATGGAATCTAAAATATGACACAAATGAACTTACCTACAAAACAGAAATAGACTGACAGACAGAAGAGACTTGTGGCTGCCAAGGGGGCAAGCGGGAGGAATGGACTGGGAGTTGGGGACTAGCAGATGCAAACTATAATATATAGAATGGATAAACAACAAGGTCCTACTGTATTGCACAGGGAACTATATTCAATATTCCATGATAAACTATAATGAAAAAGAATATGTGTATATATATGTATAACAATCACTTTACTGTATAGCAGACATAAACACAACACTGTAAATCAACTATACTTCAACAAAATAGATTAAAACAAAAACAAAACATTTAAAAAACAAAAAACCCACCACAGTTTTCCAGAAGAATTTCCACCTACATTTAAAAGCTGCCAGAACTGACCTGAAAAGAACAAGTAATCAGTGAGAAATGGACTATTTCCTGCCATAAACAAAGGATGTCATAGTCATCAGGAATTGCAGCCACAGATTACAGTGAGCTGGTGAGTCCTGAGGAAATTCAGGATATGAAAATAATCCTGCAGATCAAAAGAATGGTTTCAGTGAGCCCATACTCTTGCATCCTCCCATACATAGAAAAGTGCTAAATTCCCTAGCTTGATGCATCTGGTTTTCTTTTTTGGTTTGTGTGTGTGTGTGGTTTTCTTTAATTAACAATAATTTTTTGATGTTCAGACTATCGGCCCTTTATTGCAAAACTCCTATATACCCGAGCTCACCCCCTCGCTTCCTTGGAATAGTTCTCTTGGGGTTACTTGAGATGTTGCCTCCCGAGCATGAAGTCCTAAAAATTCCTACCAAATAAAGCGTAACTCTCAACTTTTAGGTGGTGAATATTCTTCAGGTTGACAAGGAACAGAAGCAAATGCAGTGGAAAGAACACAATGAGTGGCGTCAAGAGCTCCGGGCTCTGGGGCCAGGCTTGCCTCATCTCACTCGTGTCTTGTGTCGTTGAGCTCCTTGATCCTCCACACTGTGCCTCAGCCTCCCCTCTAACGTATAAACATGGACACCAGATTCCAAGATTACTAGCAGACTGTATGCTCCACAAGAAGAGGGACTCTCATATCCTTCTCTGTATTTCAAGCGGCTTGCACGGTGTGACAAACACATGTGTTGTGAAATAGCAACCTAAGGGCTCTGGATGTGAGAGGTGGACTATAAAGAAAGCTGAGCAACAAAGAATGGATGCTTTTGAACTGTGGTGTTGGAGAAGACACCTGAGAGTCCCTCAGACTGCAAGGAGATCCAACCAGTCCATCCTAAAGGAGATCAGTCCTGGGTGTTCATTGGAAGGACTAATGTTGAAGCTGAAACTCCAATCCTTTGGCCACCTGATGCGAAGAGCTGACTCATTTGAAAAGACCCTGATGCTGGGAAAGATTGAGGGCAGGAGGAGAAGGGGATGACAGAGGATGAGATGGTTGGATGGCACCACTGACTCAATGGACATGGGTTTGGATAAACTCTGGGAGTTGGTGATGGACAGGGAGGCCTGGCGTGCTGCAGTTCATGGGGTCGTACAGAGTCGGACACAACTGAGCAACTGAACTGAACTGAAGGGCTCTTCTAGTTCAGATACTGTAGGGTTCTCTGTAACAAGCACACATGTTGCCAGATAGAGCAGACGGTTCCCAGAGGAAGAGAACCAGATGGAACTTCTTTGACATAAGAGAAGCCATTATAGGCCTAGACATTATGTGATCTAAGCCTGGCCAGAAGGCTTGCTCTTGACCACATGAAGCGAGGTCGCTCAGTCGTGTCCAACTCTTTGCAACCCCATGGACTGTAGCCTACCAGACTCTTCCGTCTATGGGATTTTCCAGGCAAGAATACTGGAGTGGGTTGCCATTTCCTTCTCCAGGGAGATGATAAATCAATTGTAAAAATTCCCAGTTCTGGAGCTTCCTTGGTGGCTCAGGAGTAAAGAATTCCCCTGCCCATGCAAGAAACATAGGTTTGATCCTTGGTCCAGGAAGCTCCCACATGCCATGGAGCAACTAAGCCTGGGCATCACAACTACTGAGCCTGTGCTTTAGAGACCGGGAGCCGTGACTACTGAAGCCCGATAGAGCCTGTGCTTCGAAACAAGAGAAGCTACTGCAATGAGAAGCCCACACACTGCAAGCAGAGAAAGCCTGTGCAGCAACAAAGACCCAGCAGAGCCAAAATGCTAGATAATTTTTAGAAATTTTAAAAAAGCACTCCCAGTTCTGTTTCGAAGGTAAAGGATAGCAAGAGGCACATTCTTGAGCTATTCTGCAGGATCCTAAACCCCCTCACTCACTCAACCATAAGACTATCTGGTACTTAAGGAATGATGCTGCTGACCTCTGCTGACCCTGGTGATTTAATCAACTAAAGCTGTGACTCTGACAACCTGTGTCCCAAATTTAGGCTGAACTCTCCTCACTCAAGCCCCTCATGAATATGCATATCTACCCGAGTCCTTTCATAAATATGCATACACTCTTATCTTAAAACTTTCCCAGTTTTGCTGGTCTGAGAGACACAGTTTGGGCAAATATCCCTGTTCTCCCAACTTGCTGCAAGTTCTAAATCCTTTCTTCTGCTCTTTGGCTTGGTTGTGTCTTTTTGGCTTGACACCCAGCAAGAAGGGAATCTAGTTTTTCAGTTACCACAAATATGCCCCCAGGAAAAATTCCAGGATAGTTTTCAAAAAGCTTGTAGTGTTGTCCTGTTGTAGTTAGATAAGAGATTGCAGGGCTTCCTATCTGCCAACCTAACCCATTTTTTAACACTGCCATCAAACTAAGGACAGATGCCACCCACAGATCTAGGTCACTGATGCTATAAATGGATTGACTCTGCTTAAAACTGATTGGATTTTTAGCTGGTATCTTCTGAGAGCCATACTTCCTATCTGAAGCATGGGACAATCTAAGGAAAAGAAAATCTTTAGAATTACTTACGCCCAAGCCAGTAGGATCTTCTTGGTGAGCTGCCGTATTTGCAAAGCTGTAAACTTTGTAAACTTGGTGAACTGCTGCTTTGGAAAGTTATCCTTTGGAAAATAGTTC